CGGAAGACATCTTTCTGTTCCCTATTTGTATCTTCAGACTTTTTCTTTACTATCAATTTAGTCAGTATATTTTTCAGGAGGGGAACAACACACTTCCAGCAAAGTCCACATGAATACATTTGTTTGGCAAGTGCTGTTGCCTCACACCTTGTTTGAGAACACAAGTTTGGCTAAACGGAAAAACGAATGATTTTTCCCAGTCTCTAACTCCTGCTCTCCATGAGCAGGCACTGGTCCTGGTTCCTGGGTTTTATCATAGACAAAGGAGGGAATTTTTGTGATGGGCACTTATTAAAACATTGGTAGCCCCTCTCTGCCACATATCAGAGCAGGGACACTTAATACAGGGTCTGTCCTGTAAGAACCAGGAAATGGAGTGGAACATATAAATAGTCAAATAAATGGGGAAATATAGTTGCTTTTTTTGTTTAAATTTTCATTTTTAATTTTTATTTATTTTACCAGTTCCAATTAAGCTAGTCTTCAGATGTTAGGATATGAATAGTTGCTGGTAATACATTGAGACAGGCCACTTACATGGTATTCTATCTAATTCTGCAGATGCTTAGAGAGGAGCAAATTGGTGGGAAGTTGCACTCCTCCATGCAGAGCAGCAGCAAGCTCATTTATAAGGCTCCCATCCCCATAGTATTTAGGGCACCATATATAAAAAGAGCATATTTTGTTCCAAGATGACACATGCAATTCAGGGTATGGTTATTTCCTTACATTAGATTATTCTGTAAATAAGATTTTTGCAATTTCAGAAACAATTATACAGTTTTCAGTAGTAACTACTCCCAGAAAAGCACTATCTTCCACTGCACTGAGCCATGCAATTGTGATAGGTGAATATCAGACAGATGGAATGAGAAGCTGCATTTTTTAATCCTTCTGTAAAGTCTCTTTCCATAAAATAAATTGGGGAAAAGAGAAATAGAAAATCATGGCTTTTTCATTAGTTAAGTGATGATTTTGATTATATATTTCAAAATCTCCCTTAGCATCAATACTAGATCTTTCTCTGTTCTCATTACAATTGTGGGGGCATGGATCAGTGTTCATGTCGCACTCCCAGGCAGTTCCAACCTGGCCCAGGTTGGAAGCGAATAATCCCAACAGTGGACCAAATTCAGTTATGAATCCTGGTCACGTGCCACCTGAGGCACGTTGTGCATATGCTAAGAAGACTACAATTGTGCAACCAAGTCACACACTGAATTTCTATAAATATAAAAATGTTCAACAGTTTTGCTATAAGATTTTTAAAAAGTGCCTGTGCAGTTTTAGGGAAATTAGTAAATCAAACAAACCTTTGATTAAGTTAAACTACTTTAAGAGAGAGCAATACCCTTCATATGCTTTTAAGCTTGTAAATGCATTAATAACAAGAGTGCAAAATGATTACCACCAAGCACATGCAGGCACAAATAAAGCTGCTTTTGCAGCCCAATCCTGTAATTCATTCACATGTGAAACCTCCTGCTGAACTCAAAGGGAACTGCTTGGTCCTCGGCATTTTTAAGTATTGCTGCTGAGATCATATGTAGTTCCCATTTTTTAAGTTAAAAATAAAGTTTTTGTAGCTTCTTGACTGCCCTCATTCTGAAATTTCCTTCATTTAACTTCATTGGGCCCTTGTAGTTCTTACTTTGGTTTATAATTGGACAAATAACAGCCTCTCTATTTTTAAATATTTTCTCTACTTAACTTCAGCATTATTGGCTCACTGTAGCACCTTTTGAATCTGAAAACAGCAAGGTGGGATTACCAGCCTTAAAGTGAAATAAAGCATTAATCTCTGATTATGAATAATTAGGTACTAAAAATTATGCCATAATGCAAATGATGGGCTAGGAAGAATGGCAACATTAATCACACTTATGTGATTTTAAGGTCCATGCTCTTGCAACCTGCCAGAGATGGAAGTTAAATACTGTGCTTCTCTGGAAAACTGGGAATGCTGACTTTCAAGGGTTTTTTTTATTTGAGGGTTTTGTCTGCAGAGAGAGAGAGAGAGAGAGTGTGTGTGTGGGGTGGGGAGAGATGCATGGGCTGGACAAGGAAACAAAACCACCCTTTATCTGCTACATTTCAGAGAAAATAAGATAATGCACTAAAACTAAAGATAGATCTATTTAGTTACAGGTTCTAAAGGATGAAGGAATCATGACTTTAATTATAAAAAGAGGCCTACGTCTCCCTCCTGAGAAATTCAAAAGAGTTGTAATATGCTATTTTAGAGTTTCCTGCACTTGACCAGCTATGTTCCACATACCGCATGTCAATCAAAATGGCTAGAGCAGAGCATTTGAAGATCTCATTGAGATAGGGGGAGCGGAAAGCATGTCACTTTCTCAGGCTAGTGAAGTATATAGGTTCTCAGATAAAAATCCCATTGGGAATTGGAGTCTGGTTGCTCACACAGAAGTAACGTGCATCACTAAGAAAACAGGTCAGCATTGGCTGAGTTCCACTTCAGCAAAGCCTGCAGTGGTCAAAACCTTAGCACTGTCCTGCTCCACCATTTCTTCCAATAAATATTGGCTATCACTTGGTGGAGCAAGGTGGGAGCAAATTAATACCAGCTGCCCCAATATACATAAGAATAATCTTCAAATATTTTACTCAGTATTGTGTGTAAGTATTGTGCATTAAAATCAGATTTGAGGGTTGATTTAAGTTACAGTCTGCATTACTGTGAGTGAAGGAAGTCCATACAGTAGCTCTGAGCAATCAGAAGATGATAAAAACTACAAACTGAATGATGGCCCTGATTCTCCCCTCACATTTGCAACCCAAAATACAAAATGTTCTGAAATGTTAGAGAGACTGATTTGCCACAGCAATACACTAAGACCTGATGGAAGATACTAGTAATTAATATATGTTCAAAGCAGGAAGTTCTCCCTCAATTTCAACAGGAAGTTCTCTTGAAACAAACAAAACAAAACCAAACAAACAAGATAGCATGATAGCCCAGTACTCTCACCAATGCAAGTAAGTATCTTGCAAGCTTCTAAAATCCCTTACAACATGCAACTTAAAATATTAAAGATTAATTTTAAAAGTGCTCATAATAGTTCACTTTTAAAATTAAAACTATGTGCCTGTTTATAGGAACCTCATTTTTTAGATATAATAATCTGGCTATAGAAAACTTTCTTCTGGATAGGACAGAAGACAGCACATGATGGAATCAGAGGCTATTTCTGGAGTCAGGGATGAATGGTGTATTTAGAATTAAGCGCTCACTAACATTTCAACTCTTTATGCAGTTTATATATTTTAACTGAGCATATTCAAGTCACAGACACCAAATAAAAACTCACAAAAGAACCTGAAAAAGGTCTTAAGAAAATCTTATAACACAGTCTACTGGAGACTCTGTAGTGTTTATAGAAGATCGTAGACACAGACATTTCTTAGGAGACAGTTTACACCCACACATACACAGTAAGCGCACCTACTCTACACATGCAGGATTAATTGCACTTGGGGAGTATAATTCAAGAAGCGTTTATGCCAACAGTATTTTATGAATATAGCTGTCTTTCAGAGAGAATAAAAAAAGTCAAAGATTTTAGATTGAACATGCCTTAGCTGCCTTTGCTGTCTAGCAACAGCAGAAGAATGTTAATGTAATCATTAAAGAAAATACATTACATTAAGGACAAAACATATTTGCAATAAATATTTACCTAGATGTAGAGGGAAGTAAATGAGAAATAATTTAAATTTAGTTTGCCAAAACAACTCTGTAGTGTAAGAAAATGGACTGCATGTGATATGGACTCATTTTGGGTTTAAAATAGACTTCTTTGCAACTTTCATATCATAGATCATCACTACACAAGAGATACTGCTTTCCACCTGCAGTATCTGCCTTTGTGTTTTATCCTGTTTCAAGCAAGCAAACATTCCTAAACAGAATTTCCTAACAGAATGTTCTATCATTTAAACAAAGAATCAAAGGCTCCCTGATGGTTCAAATCAGCTATTGCTACAAAAGATACAGAATGCTGCAAATTATCTGAGAGGCAAAGTTAACTGTCAGGTCTGGCTTCATATGAAATAAACCTTCCTCCCCACTGCTGAGGTATATAAGTCATGTTATCACAGACAATGAGATGCTCAGATAAGGAGCCTGGTCTTAAACCTTTACCTCTGAACATGGAGGAGTACAAGTGAAAAGAAAGCCAAAACAAAGGTGGATCAGGAGGCAGACAGGACTGGGTAGTTTATGACACTCTCTATTGATTGTGTGTGTGTTATTTTGCTAAAACCAGATCTTGCTCTGCCTAAGAAGAATGATAAATACCTGACCAGAGCCGTGCAGTGTGTTGGAGTGTTAGCAGAGCAGCAGGAGTAGTTTAATGGGAAAAGGAGGAATATGGAGTTCTTGATTTTCCTCAGAGCCATACTGTGCATTTCAGTAGCCACCGATACCATAACCCTCCTTCTGGTCATCCCCACACCCACCAAAATACAGGCAGCCAGCATCTGGCAGGGCTTCTGGATGTGTCCAGAGACGGTCCCTTGCCTCCCACTCCCTATCCTGTTCTCATATAGCCACATATTCAGAAGTGGGCACTCCTTTGGGGCGTCCAAGCTCAGACCGTGGGGTCCGATTTTCAGAGCTGCTGAGCACCCACAGCTGCCCCCAGCTTCAGCCGGAACTGCAGGCACTCAGCACCCTGAAAAGCCAGGCTCTGGTGTTCCCCTCCGGCCCCGGGCCGGACACCCACCAGGAGCAATAGCCACTGGGCTGGGGGTGCCCTGCGCGCTCAGCTCTCCGCCCACCGGGGCTCAGGACGAAGCCTCAGCCCAGCTAGTTCCCCCGCCCAGAGAACAGATAGCTGGACAGGGGATAACCAAACGCCCGGGCACCAACCCGCGCCTGGAGCAGGATCTTGCTCTGGAGCAGCCGCCCAGAAGGGGCGAGGAGCTGCGCAGCCCCCAGGCCCAGGGAGAGGGCGCGGCCGCCGCGGGGCTCCTACCTTCCAGCACCGAGCAGAGTTTGTCCAGGGCCATCTTCCCTCCCGCGCAGAGCGGGAGCGGCACGTCCCTGCCGCTCCTGGCCCAGGACCGAGCGCCGGGGCGGCAGCGAGTCAGAGGCGAGGCATAGCCAGGTCCGCGCAGAGCCGGGGGCGCCTGAGCGCAGCGCCGGCCCCCGCTGCCGTCCGGCGGGGGAGCTGCCCGTGCGGGTTCAGGTCTCCCCCCTGGCCATGCCCGGTGACCCGGGCTCAGGGGAGCCGCCCCGCTAGGAGCGAGCTCAGCCAAACCCCTCCGCGCCTGGAGCCTTCGCTCCCGCCGCGCTCAGTCCCATCTAGCGGGGGGCGTGAGGGGGGTGCCGCGCCAGTCGCACGGGGTACCGGCCGGGGCGCGCTGCTCCCCCCGGGGCCGGCCGGCAGCCCGCAGCAGCTCGGCGGCTCCCAGCTCGGCTGCCGCTCACTGAAGCTCATTTAAGATGGATGGGGGGGGGGGGGGGTTTGCCGGAATGGGCCCCTTTTACCCATGGGCCCCCCCCCCCCCGCAGCCTCGCTAGGGGGGCCGCTCCCCTCAGAGCCCGCCCGGGCAGGGGGCGCCCCGCGCAGGGCAAGCGAGAGGCAGGCAGCGGGTGCGAGGGGCGGGAATGAAGCGCTAAGAGGACGGCGAGGGGAGACTCCCTGCGGGCCCGCCCCAGCCCCGTGGCGCGCACAGGTGCCGGTAGCCTGCCCGGCTCCCAGGGATTTCCCCTCCCCTGAGGAGGGCCGTGGGGAGCCCGGCAGCGGGCCGTGCCGTGCCTTAAACACACGGGGAGAGGAGAACGTGCTGTGCCTGCTGGGTCAGGCCGGTCCCCGCCGCCGGGGAGCCCGGGGTGAGGCGGGAGCCCGCTTTCCTCCCCACCCGCTGGCTGGGGTCCCCGCGAAGCCAAGTGCGGTGTCCGCTCAGGGTGGAGCAGGAGCCGCTCCCCGAAGCCCGGTAGCTGCAGAAAAGCCGCGTCAGCTGTTAGGGGAGGCAGCGTGTGGCGGGCTCGGCTGCTCGCCCCGCTCCATTGTGCTGCCTGCAGCGTCGGGGCCGAGAAGAGCCCAGCGCACGCTGCTGCCTGGCGGGGAGTGACAGCTAAACTAGAGCTATTACTTTACACGGAGTTAATAAAAAGGCGCGCTTGGCTGGCTGCCTCGCCCTCTCTCGGGTGACCCATCCCAGCGGGCCAGGGAAGGGGAGAAGAATCTCCGTCTCCTCAGACGACAAGGGATGCAGTGCGCTGGAAGGCACTTTCATGGAAGCAGGGAAATGATTAGGGCTCTCAGCTGAGCGGGGAAACCGCGAGTCGTAGAATCAAATCCTGGCCAGCAGAGAGACCTGACCGGTGTCCACAAACTCTGCTTTGTTTAGTGATCGCACTGAACGCGTTTGTCCATTTCAGGCGTGGAGGGCTGAGCATTTGTAAACAAATGATGGAGACATGCAATGGCACGTAGCGTGTCTCCCCTCCAGCCACACACACAGCTCGGAGGATGGGCACAGCTGTGAAGGGTTAGATTAGTAACAGGCTGGAAGTACTCTTCATATGCGCGCAAGTGCTTTCTCAGGTGAGCAGCTGGGCGGCACATGTAAATTCATTGAGTCTTTTTTTCTTCTTCTTCAAATGTCACAAGTGAAATGAATTGGGGTGTCTCCGCCTAGTTCATAGTGGACGTTTGCCTTCGTTCCAAAAGTACCCCACTGTTTGGTGTGCTCGACAACCATTTGGTCAGGATCCCCAAGTAGTGGAATAACAGGACTCTATCAGGTCACAGATATGTGGAGAACCTTGCCTCAGAATAGTTGCTAGTTACTGCAAGTTTTCTTTTGTTTTTATGAGCATATCATATTCTCCCGTTCCACCAGCATGACTGTTAGATTCTCACCTCAGAGGTTTCCCGCTATTGCTACTTGTCCCTGCAGATTTGCTACTATATTTTGTGACATATCAGACTAAAGGTGATAGGTCTATCACGTTTAAGATTAGCATCTGGTCCCGTTTAGACAAAACAAAAATAGCATTATCAATTCCTACAGACTGTTTTGGTTAGTATTTGCATCTTTTTTTTCCAGCAGCAGCCCATGCAGTAGTGTATAGTGTTGCAATTCTAAACTTCAAAGTAGTCAATAGCACCCTACCATTGGTCCCTTCCTGCATTTCACCTGTCCGTGTTCCAGTACTTTATGCATCAATTTGGAACTGACTTCAGAGCTAATAAGTCTAGCAAACTGCTTGTAAATTAGATGGACACTTGCAACTGTTGTATTTTACATATATTTTGTACATATTCACTAGATACACAAACATAATAGATTCAAATCTTAAAATGTTCTTTTGTTTTTTGCTGATTTTTCAGTTGATTTAATGTTTTATTAGAAGGTCAGCAGCCCCTGTTATAAAAGGTCAGAGCCTTCCTTTAGCTTTTCAGATAAATGTTTCAATATGTTTTAGTCAACCTGATACTGCCAGTTATAGCTAGTTAAGCAGGAAGGGCTGGAACAGTAAATGAGCGGTAGAAAAGTCAGGAATAATACAGAAGTGCTTACAAAGTGGTGGCAGTGCAGTAGGTGGCACTCTTCCCTCTGATCAGTATCGCTCCCCTGTCCAGCACAGAGGTGAGGGTCACTGTATTACTGGAGGGGCCATCTGATGAGACTTAAAACTATAACCCTGACGGTTTCTGGTCATTAAAGATTCCATAGCAATGTTATGTGAATAGGGTTGTTAAACTTGGTGCACTGACCAAATTTCAAATCACATACTGATACTTTGCTTACTCAAAATTTCCTTGCAATTTCAAAGCGATATATTAATTGCAGTACAGGATAAGCAGTGGTACCAATTGGATGGGTTGGGGGGAATGCTCCCCCTGCAAATTTTTTGCACTTGCTCAAAGTTCCATAGGTGGCAGAGCCAAAGGGGCCATAGCCCAACCACTTTAAAGCAGTGGCAACAAATATCTGAATTGGCACCACTGGTCAAAATTGGTGTGCAGTTTTTTCTATTCATTATTTAATAGCTGTTGCATTTCAGCAGTGGGTGAATTGATTCCTACATATCCATCTTATGCACATATTTTATAGTAGTAGCGTGAGACTAAGTTCTACAGTGCAAAGTCACTGTAAAACTGGCCCCTTCTTATTCAGCAGATGTCTTCTCTGCATGTCTGCTGACTTTAGTGACAAAAAGTATTTACCATGTTAACCTTGTAGAATTCACACAGGTACAAGAGAATATGGATTCTATTCCTGTTTGTGCATTAACAATATTTTTATGCAATTTACAACCACAGATCTAAAATCTGACTATCCCATTGAACAGGTCTAAGTGAGCCAGGATTTTGTGGGATTGCATTGATGTAACTTCAGCAATGGGTTGCACTAGGGTGACCAGATGTCCCGATTTTATAGGGAAGTTCCGATTTTGTGGGCTTTTTCTTATATAGGCACCTATTCGCCCCCACCGTCTGTCCTGATTTTTTACACTTGCTATCTGGTCACCCTAGGTTGCACAGATATAACTGAAAGCAAAATTTGGCTTGCAGCATCTTTATTACTGGTGATGATGCACAAGAAGTAAAGAAACCATCTTGATTCTTAATCTGTTTGAGTTTGTACTTAGGAAAACATCTATTTATTTGTCAGCTGTCCTGCAATAGCTAGTGATGAGAAAAAACACAACAAAGATCCCAGGCTTTAAGTAGCCAAACCTAGATCTGTGAAGCACAGACTCTACTGTGGCCAACTCAATGCAAATCTGAACTTGTTTTTGGCACTACAATAATGGATACTATAGGAATATTTAAACTAGACCGAGTAAACTTGATCTAGAAGTCAAAGAGACAAACATGACACCCCCCCCCGCATGATGCCACTTTATAGAATTATTACAGAAGTGTACTTTAGTAGTGAATTTGTTCAACTTCTCATCCTATGATTAAAGGTGATATTCATGTGCAATGTACTACAGCTGGATTCTGCAAACACTATTGGAGTTAGTGGAACTACTCATGTTTGTGAAGTTAAGCATGGGCAGAAGCATTTGCAGGATCAGAGACTAATGGAACAGTTGCAGCAGCTGCTGAGCTATAATAAAAGGCTGTTTTACTTTGCGTTATAACTGATTTGGTGCCTCCTCTCTTCCAAATGCCTCTGCCCTGAAATCGCCAGGAGAAGTCCTCTGTTTCAAATTTGGGTGGTAGTGGTAGTGTTCTGCTTTGTTTTTGTTGTAATAGTGTTTGAAACAATGTCAGAGGCATGCTGAGTAGCAGATGGGTGCCTGTTTGTTATAAATCACCAATATTCTATAGCCAGTGAACAATTTTTGACCACATTTGAAGTGCTTAGGATATTCTGTTTTTTATGCTAGGCACATACAAAAATAGGTGTTAATCAGAGAGTTGGAAACTTGTTTAGTGATGCAGAACTATTTTGTTGTCTGGTCTTGTCTGACAGACTGTAAGTGGCTTGTTTGAAAGTTCTTAGTGAGATACAGCCCCCAAATATGAGATGTTGGAAAACACAAGGGCCTCAATCTGCTATCATAATGTAAACATATTTAATGTCATGTTGAAAAAGTTATTCAGTGCAGAGTGTGGAACATCACAATTTAGCCAACTTCCTAAGTGTCTCAGAGGACTCTGGCAATCCTTAGAAAATTTGCCAGGCAGTTGGCTGAGCTGCAGTGCCCCCACATGCATAGTCTCTGTCACATAAAGCTTTACAGGATCATTGCTGCTTGCCTGCATACACGTAGCCAGAACTGTGCCTGAGAACAAAGAAACATTGAGACTTCAGGACAGGTTGATCTCATTAGCGACCAAGAATCCCTTACTTTCTATTTTACGTTGGTTGAGCCGAGTCCATCCTTCTTTATGGTTAAATGTCGTCCACAGAAAGATATACTTTTCCAGGTCTGAAGGCAATCATTCCCCTCTCCTCAGTAGAATTTCATGTGTCACTGATTACACATGTGCCTTAGGCACAGAATGAGCCCTGCTCCTCCTCGGGCCAGCTCATGAAATTTGGGCAAAAATGTAGAAACAAAGATTAGTGTATGGGATCATGTATACTTGGCATCATACTTTTGAGAGATCTACAGGTATTTATAAATCCACGTATAAAACTAATCATTGTGGTTACAATTTTCATGTCACTTTAAAAATATTATTAGTCCAGCATCTTCTCTAAATTTATAGCCCCAATGAGAAAAACATGATGTGGAGAAGAATGGAGGATGGCAGTGGTATAGTCAGTGAACCACTATTGTGGCTTTTCCCAATTTAAGATGTCTTGTAGCTGTAGATCTCTTTAAACCATTATTAAAAAAGTCTTTATCCAAAAATAAAACCACCTAAAGGGAAAATGGGGCAGCAGGCACATTTCGTTGTTGGGGAGAAATTAACTGTGCAGTTGCATTCTGGGAGATGAGAACAATGAAGACTGATATTTATTTCAACAACCATTCGTCAGCTGGCTAGTTGACTGTTTCTGCATAGGTGAGATTTTAGATTGAAGAAGCCTCCAACTAGCATTGTTTACCATGGTTGTGTGCCGTGGGTGTGTTCTGAAAGTTTATAAACTTTAGAACAAGTTCTCACCACCCAATTACTGTGAACAGCACTTGGAAATACACGGTCTAATTACAGTTGCAACCTTGATCTTACTGTTAGTGATGGCAATCTTGCTGAAAATTTTTGTTTTTGACACCTGCAGTATGGAAAGCCTAAGTAAGGTAATAAACATCTTATTGACTAACAGAAGTATTGGGAGCATAAGCTTTCGTGGGTAAGAACCTCACTTCTTCAGATGCAAGTCATTCTTGCATCTGAAGAAGTGAGGTTCTTACCCACGAAAGCTTATGCTCCCAATACTTCTGTTAGTCTTAAAGGTGCCACAGGACCCTCTGTTGCTTTTTACAGATTCAGACTAACACGGCTACCCCTCTGATACTAAACATCTTATTGTAACTTAATGTTTAACAATAAAGCAGTATTTAATGCTTATGATATGTAATGCTTACAATGTATTGTTCATTATCATTATAGGGAAAGCTGCGTGTTGCAACTAGAATCTGTTGCATAATAAAGCTTTTATAAGAAAAGCTTCTAGTCTGTTTATAAATAAAAATTTAAAAACATAATCTGAGTATAAACTGATGCAATGTTGGATTATTGAGTGTGCAAAATATCCTGAAACAAAATCTAAGAGAGGCATAAAACTGACTCATTCAACGCATTGAGATGTTCACTAAGAAACTGACCAGTACATGTGGGAGATATCCGATTACTTTATATATACACACATACACAAGTAGCTGGTACCAGTGAAAGCTTCACAGATTGGTAGAAGTGTATCATGGATGGTTCTCCTCTTATATGAGAGCTCATTTTTAAGTCTCATGACAGTGACAGAATTAAATTATTCTAACCATGATTTACGATGGACATAATCAGTTTAATTTACCAGCCCTGTTTTCCTCTTCTGATCCTCTACTAACAGCTCAATGTTGACAGGTGAATATAGTATCAGAGATTAATGGGGGACAACAGGTTATGGGGCAGTGATCACTCACACAGTGAAACAGACCAACAAGGCTATAATATAAAGATAGCACCAACAATAATATTTGTTTGCACTTAAGCAACAAACATGCTTGATTTAATAAACATTTATTATGAATGCACATTAACAGATTTAAATACACAGAGAATCATGTAAATGCAAACCATTTTAAGAACAAAGGAAAACTGTATTACATAAAACAAAAGCATGATGGTTCTCAGGGAATATGTATTACCATTGCTGCAGTGTAATCTGAATGATGGAAAGCTATTGACATTTTGAATATACAGAACTGAGTTTCTCTTCACACATAATCACTACTCTCTTCCGACAGAATGTGGGGACAGTAGCATAACATGCTCTCATGTAAGAAGTTTACATCAAGGACTTTATATGAACCATAGAATACCTCAGCCCTTAATCATCAATGGCCTTTGGGATGGAAACAGGCAGGCCAAACATAGGAATCAACCCCAGTCTCCTTTACAGGTTTTTCTTTAAGCTTTTCCCCAAGAAAATCAAATTCCATTCATAATTTTGATGGCCATTTGTTTTCATAATTAAATGTAAGTATAGTCACATTGATATGCATCAATACTCAAGCAAAATTCTTCTGATCCCATCCATTCTTGGAAGGCATAATTTTTACATATTTTGGATTATGATAATTAATTTCAGTATAAACTTAGATTTTATTTATTTTTTTAAATTTGAATGCTTCATGCCTAGAACTAATATACATCAACAGTACAGATGTCCAATGATTGGTTATTTGGCTATTAGCTTTGTAGATTTATTTCAGTCATTCAGTAAATAAATTCTCTAACTATTGCATGTAAGTACTAAAACAAAGGAAAAAAAGATCTAGACACTTTAGATCAAACACCCCAAGAGTACAGTTATAGTAATTGATGTAAAATGTCTCATCTGAAAATCTGCATTAGGTTCATTTACAGAAATATAATTTATATTGCAGAAATGTATAAATGACAAGACCAACTCAACTGGCACTAAAGGATTCTTCTCACTGAAATACTAACTTCATTTACATGTGACTTCTTTTCCATCAAATGTTGTACTGGAAGAAGTGGCAGTATGTAAACATTGGAACACATGCAATATGATCCCTTACTAAGAAAAATAAATTGACAGCGTTGCTAAATAAAGGCCAATAACTGCCAGTATATACAAACTGTTTACTGAAAGCTCATATTGAGACATTCAGGTCTGATTTTAGTGCTTTTCAAATAAATACCAAAGAATGCAACATTTACAAATAACACACTAACAATACCCCACCTCCCCCGATCTCCTTTACAAATTGGAATTTTGTGTTTTGATTAAGCAAATGAATAGCAGCTTCTTCATAGATCTTAAGGCATGTTACATAGCATCAAAATGGAACCGATGGGCTTCTTGTCGTTTCTCTCTGTCATCTGCTTTCTGAAAAATAAACCATAACACTTTACAGAATACAAGAGACAGTATAGCACATACCTTGCATTCTAATAGAAAATTAGTTGTCAAATGCCACAGAATGGCTGTTTTTTCAACTCGGTCATTCAACAGAAGACAAAAAGCTAACTAACTGCCTCAACAATTAATACTTAATAGGTGTCAGTTTATAATAGCAATAATCTGCTCAAAATTGGCTGCTGCCGTTAAATGACGAGATGTTTTAGTATTAATCACCCAATGCTTTGGGTTATTCTAATGAATGTTTTTTTCAAGGATTATTGCTTAAGTAGTTAAATGAAAAATGCTTCTTAGTGCGCTTTTATGTCATCTGCATTGTAAAAGAAGATAAATATGATGAATGGTGAATTGGCTCTGAAGCAACCATACATGGTTCCAACTCAGTTGTAATTTAAGAACTAGATTTTCTTAAAATTACTGTTAACAGAACCAAAATTGAAAAATTTGGCAAAAGGGACAGTAAGATTGTAGCAATTCAACCAATACTACATTAAGAACTGCAGATGAAAAATTGGGGTTCCACTTAGTTTGTGGGCATATACATGTGTATAAACAGTGAACAACTGGGAAGATAAATAAATTTCTTTCCTTATTTGGGTGCTACACATGCAGATCTGTCAAAACAACAGTGTTACTGACATGTGTGTGTTTGGATAAACAAGGAGAGTATTCAGCTTGTACCTGTATCTGTATGGTCTTTAGTTAAATGTAGTAATTTTCCATGTATTTTATTTCCTCTCTCCAGTCCAGAATATCTTGCCTATGAACTTCTTTCCAGAGTTTACTAATGTTGGATGAACTTTATTGGGAACTGAGATTAGCCTCATGTGAGAAATAAACTGTTTGTCTGCAGCTACAGAGTCCTAACAGCATTTCTAATATATACATGAGCAAGCAATGAATCGCTCTGTCAATTTATCTGACTTGCACAATTCTTCTTGCTTGCTACTTGCGGCTAATACTTTTTTATTTTTATTTTATTTTTTAAGAGTGAGTAAAATATTGTTATTGTTTGTCACCATCATGATATAGGCATGTGCCTGAGCTGGTAACTTTTCACAACAATTTTACTAGGTATCTATGCTATATCTACCTCATTTCTATAATGAAAGCTAGGTTGTGGGAAACATGATACCACCTGCTTTGGCTCCATTCCAAAGATTTCCTTGTTAGAGACCCCCAAGTGTACAATGGGGCACCCTGTTGGGTTGTGTTCTACTGGATTTTGCTGTTTTAGTCTTCTGTGACGGGCTTACAGTTCTCAGTGTAGTTAAAGCCCCCCCCCACACACACACTTTAAAAACAATTTCCATTCAGTTGTGTTCTCTCTTTCAGGCATTCTGAAAGTGTTAAAGACGATTTCTGAATTGACAATAATAATACTAATAGTTAACTTTTAAAGTGCTGTCTATGTAAACTGATTAACCATCACATTATTCCTATGTGGTATCATGATCACTATACAGATGGGGAAACCAAATCAGAGTGTCTGAGTGATTTGCTCAAAGGTCACACAGCAGGGCAAAGGGAGGATTAGAACTCAGGAGTTCCAGGATCCTTGCTCATCTGACATCTATCTGAATGTTTAACTGGCCTTTTAGTTCACAAACAATGCCAGGCATACCAAGTCAAAAATGCAGTAATTTTATTTGACAGCTGTAATTATGGTATGCTAGGTAGTAGCACTTATTGGCCTTCCTGACAGTTGAATATTATTGTGAACTGAGAGTGGTTAAGAAAAATGGGAACACTTTTCTTTTGTGACATGAAAGAACCCTCTCAAAATGCTTCTTCAAATCAATGAATTTCTATATGCTGTAGTGTATTTCAGCTATATTCAACAAAACAGCCAATATGTCCATGATAAAATCACACACAGTCTTAAATGTTAATGTTAGTCAGTGAGGATACAAAATGACAAGGAATGTTTTCCTTTTCTCTGAACTACCAGCGGAACTGAAGAAGGGTAAGCTGGGGGTTTACATTTAGTTTTATTTCCAGACTCATATTATTCCTTTAAACTCTGATCAAAGGCTGAGAGTGCAAGATATCCAAGATATTCATCCTGGATATGAACTAGGGTGACCAGGTGTCCCGATTTTCAGAGCTGTGTCTTATATAGGCGCGTATTACCCCCGACCCCTGTCCTGATTTTTCACACTTGCTGTCTGGTCACCCTAATATGAACTGAAAATTTTCCATTTAGTTATGAATTATGGTTTTCCCTGAACTATCAACACTTACCAGTTATTGCCAAATTTCCATTTTTATGACTCAGAATTAAAACTAAATACCAAATATTTGTTTCTAAGGTTTCAATAAATCCTAAATTATCCTAATTTTGTGGATAATAATAAAGTCTGATACCTTTCAGGCATGAGAGGATTATTATAGATTGATTAATTTAGTGATACCCCCCCCCAAAAAAACTTTTCAAACTGAAAAACACTATTCAAAACAACACAGCATAGTGCATATATTAAAATATTAGTAAGTTTAAAGTATTGTAAAGATACATCTAGAAAATCATTTCCACTTAATTAAGCTTACCTTTTCTTGCCAGTGCAATATGCCAATTATTGCTAAGATAAAAACGCAGACACCAATTAGGGCTATAGCTGTGAGCAGCACAATGTTACTTGGGGTCAGGTACAGCTTGGCACTCCAGCTACAGAGAAGAGGAAAAGCAAAGGAAACCTCAGTAACTCTTCATTAGGAAAAAGAGTAGATTCAATAGAGATTATGTTTACAAAAATATAAAGGTAGTAAGGTGACCATGACTTGCTCTTCAAAAGCCAGGGGCTTTACTGAAAGACCTCCCCATATAATGTTTACCTACAAATATAGGGTTTAATATCATTGCCATTTCCAAGTAATGCCATCTCTAAGCTTAGTTTCTATTGAACTATTCACAAAAGTACTATGGTTAGCCTCAGGGACTGACTTTTTCATTAAGGCACTCCTTAATGTGGCACTCCTTTTGCAGTGGGCATGGAAGGGAGCAAAATAAAATGCACAGGATAAGCCTCCAAAAAACCGTGCCTGAGACTTAGGTGAAGGGAAAAAGAGCAGAGAAACAGTCCACCTGGCATGCTGCCTCTTTTGCCAAGAAAGCCCCTTTGCTGCAACACAGTACTGCAGGGGACATGGGGAGCAGTCATTGTACATTTCCATCAGTCATCTGCATATCTACACTGTTCAGAAATTAATGCTGCATTAAGTTCCTCTCTGTGCCTGCATAAGCCTCAGAACCCACTGTGCAGGCATGGCAAGGACAGCCAATGACAGCTGTGCTTCCAGGGAAAAAGAGAGGCCAGGCAGCATCGTGGAGAGTCACCACACTGTAGAGTAGTGCTTCATTTCCTTGTAGATAGAGAAATGGGGGTTCCATAGGGTACAGATGCCTTGCTTCCTGTCTCCTCCACAAAAACCCTGCATTTGGAGGGGAAATGTATAAAAAAGTCTGCCTGACAAACTTTGTGGAGTTTCCTGAGTGCTCTAGGTTTTACTCCATCAGGAAATAATGTGGCCTTAAATCAGGTTATAACAGGGCATTTCTATGAGATACAGAGATAGCAACAATTTCAGTATTTGTGACAAACGTCTTTGCACATCCCATACTATTAGAGTGCATTGAGAGACAAAGTGACTTAGTCTCTCTAATCTGTTTTATTCCACTTTTTTGTGCTTGGGTATTCATAACAACTGATTTTAAAACATGTAGTAGATACCTTATGCAGAGTACACTACAGACTATAATAGTGGAAAGATTTTTCACATCAGAATAATTTTTACTGTTGATAATAAAGGAGTTTAGGATCCAGAAAGCGTACTCCTGAGCTGTAGCATATTTCTGAGCCATTAAAGACTATGTTCAAAAATATAGTTTTATTGGTTTCATATACATCAGATGTGCCAGTGTGATATGGTGTTTTATGAAAACCAGCCCTATTAATCCTAGGGAGTTAATAAACAAGATGTCAATACAGTCACATAAGGCTGTAAGACAACTATAGCCAATCAAATGTCATCTCATTCTTTCCTTGAAGTACAAATTGTTTGATATTGATTTTACTTAAGTATTTCAGCAAAATTAGCTGCAAGTGCCTCATTTGTGGTGATGAGATATAATGTTTTCAACCTGCAAACATAAAAATGTTAGCATTTTAGAGAACTGACATATTAGGCACAATCTACAGAATTTCTGTAAAAACAGATGGATTCACAAGGAACTGCATCCCTCCCTATCCTGCAGCTCTCCAACACCTTCCCTTTAAGGGACAATTTATCAGCCTCCCTGATGCCTTTTTCTGACTTTGTCTATGGGAGGGGTGATCTGGGCTTGCAATGTAAAGTCCATGTCTGCAGTACGCTTAGCTTAAGTAGTTCATTTCCTGCATGTCCAAATATTAACAGAAAACCCTCTGAGGTATAGCTCCTTGCATCCAAAAATCTCAAGGCACTTTACAGCCATTTATTTAGCCTCATGCCTTTTTTACCTACGAACTGAGGCACAGATTTGTTAAGTTTTTGTAACTTTAACTAATACTTGGATCTTTTTAAAATATTTAAGTTATTTTGAAGAAAGATACATTCAAATTTGTCATATTTTCAAATAGGAATAATCCACCTTTAAAGCTCACATCATTTTAAACATTCAGCTCAAACTTTGTGACCAAATAAGACTCTGCCATTCAGGACTCACTTCCTAGTTCCTGCTTCAAACTCCAGTGGCAAAATCTTGTAACGTACATATTACTGCCTACCTCTTATTACATATGTTTAAAAATACAGCATTTTTTGTTTCTTTTAAATATTACATGATTGTTGCATGTAGTAGTTCTGAGCATATCTTATTTTTTTAAGTGACTTGCTCAAAGGCATATAGTCAGTCAGTGCCAAAACTGGGATTATAATCCAGGCGTCTTGACTCCTCGTCCCCTGCTTTAACCTAGACATACAGTCTCTATGTAACAAATACTGCATTAAGAATCAAAGGCAACTTTTTCTCTCTCATGTTTAGAGAACTGTTGTGTTTTCATTTAAAAGTTTAAAGTTAAGATTCTTCTAACAAGCAGCAATTAAATTTGGATTAAATCAAAATTTATTGACTAATGAGGTCAGTCTCTGTAGTCAATAAATCTTGAAATAGACTGAAAAATGAAATCAACGTGTATTTTATTTATAAATAGATTTGGAGAAAATATTCCTTCAGAAACACAAGGAGGGAAATAAAAGTGCCTAAGAGGTTGGTTGTAGCTGAAAGTGGTACACTAGAATCTATAAAAATATCAATGGCAGTGAGAGTGCATAGAAAATTAATTATTGCTAATTTGAAGAACAGTACACTTGCATTACTTGCACAGTACACTTTGTCAATGAGATTTTATTTTTAAACAGGATTCCTAATATGTTTACAGTTTTTGTATTTGGAGATGCGTGCATGTATTTTTGGCATGGGTGACTAAGTGCTGGTCACAGCCCCAGTTCAGCAAAGTACTTAAGAATGTGTCAAATTTTAAGCATGTCAATAGATTAATACATTTTAAGGCTGGAAAAGATTGTATCAATCATCATCTAATCTGACTTCATGCGTAACATAGTCCATAGAATTTCACCCAGTAATTCCTGCATCAATTTCTGTTTGCACTAGAGTGTAATAATCTTTTAGAAAAATATTTAAGTATACAGTAAGGCAGTCTGTCTTTCTAAAGAGTAATGGTCTGTCCCACTGAGAAGTTAGGGGCTTTATGTAGAAATCACTGGGGAAGTTCTATCACCTATGTTATACAGGCGGTAATGGCCCCGTCTGGCTTTAAATATCTATGAATCCTTCCAGATCTTCTACTACAGGACTACTTGCATGCTTAAACTTAGACAAGTGCTTAAGTACCTTGCCGAACTGAGGTCTATTTGCATAAATTGCTCAATATTCTCCCATTTGGAGTATTAAAATGAGCACCTGTGTAAGTCTACATAGAGAGATGAATTGAGTTGCCCAAAGTCACCAGCAGGGCAATGCCAGAGCTGGTAATGAAACTCAGCTCTTCTGAGTCCCAGTCCAGTGATCTATTACGTCCCATTGAACTGAGCAAAGAAGCAAGTAATTTACCTGACTTCTTATTCTGGCATCATTTGTAGGCTAGCCAGTAAGAATCAACCAATTTTAAAATAGCTTCTAAAGCAGTTTATAAAATTAAGGAGAGGGCCAAATAGATCATAGGGTTATTCTTGAAGAAACCCCATGGTCCAGTTACACATTTTATTCAAAAGGCAAAGTGCCTTTTATATAGTTTATATAATAGATTGGGTTCCCTGACCACTCAATTAAAAATTTAAGTCAGTCAAATCTGCTAATATACAATGAATATTTGGTATCCTACAGATGATAATCTATTGCATAGAAGTATAGATAGAAAGAAAAATGGATCTTTTAATACTTGAAGTACACATAGGCCTAATGCCACTCACCCCATCCAAACACCCAGAACTAAGGGGAGGTTCAGATCCAGAGCTGAACATATGGCTCATGCCTATCTCAGATTTGAACTCTTGGGGTGAGGGGACTTCAACCTATTTTTAATGCTAGGAATGGAGCACATGTAAGGCCAAATTTCCAAAACAGGGTACAACTGGTGGACCTACCCAAGACATGCACACACCCACTGTGGCTCAAAAAAAAAAAAAAAAGTACAACTGTGGGTGTAAACAAACAAATGTGGTAATAGGGTAGCTAGACTGTCAATTCCGGCACCTGCAGTGGGCCTGTTTGTGGTGCACACGTGGGGTTTTGCAAGTGCACAGATTTAACTTTGAAGTCTTATGAGGATGATTACGTATCAGTCAGCACTGTTCTATATTTCACTGCTGATTAATGCAGCTACTCTGGAAGTGAGGGTGACTCCTGAGTAGCAACCTTTCCCTCCAGGATTTGACCCCGTCTGTTCTCAATTCATTGTGCTTAGCTCTGAAATTTTGGCCCTTAAAAATGTTTTGTCTTTAAGAGACAGGGAAGGGAGCTTTTATTATGGAGAAGGATTAGGGAGAAGAGTCTGATGACAAGGGTCAAATTTGGCAGAAAAAGGGGATGTTAAGCTCCACTCACAATTGCAGAATAGCTGGATGTTTCAGCTAAATTGATCATCAGTGAAATAGTAAAGTGTAAACCTATAAATCTTCATTAGGATTCAAAGTTAAAACCCCATTGAGATGAATTAAGCAGGTCTCTCTAAAGTGGTACTGTTCAGTTTGGCTGGCTGCAGACTTGAGAGAACAGACCATTTTGTCCTGATAATTTGTATATTTGAAGAGAATAGAGGATTCATTCCTTAGGCAAGTTCTTCCTATTTTATTATGTTACTGAAGGAAAGAATCAATTCTGTCAATAGAAGAATGGATTAATTTCCTTAATGCCTGTTTATCGTTGGAAAAGGCTATTCACAGAGAACGAGGATTTACTGGGACTTTTGAGAAAATGTGGAAGTATTGCTTGGGGATTTAAGGAATCTGAAAAGGACTTAAATACAAATAGGGATTGCACCCGTATACTTCTCTAGGATGTAGAAAGAAGAATTGATTTTTTTTTAAAGGGGTTTCTTTCCCGTTTAGGAATATCAGGTGTGTATAGTCTAGTCTTCCCTTATTCCTTGATGTGTCAGAGCAGCTGCATTGTGTTCACTCCCACCTTAAGTGAAAGCAAAAGTACAGAGGGATGCGCTTGAATCTGTATGTTTAAATCTGTAATAAACACTTCTTTTCTCCAAAATGTCAGTTACTGAAGTTATATAAGAAAGTTTTAAACAGCCTGACTAAAAGCCTCTTCCCCTCAACTGCTCATCTTCTCCTCTCTTGACGCATGACATCATTTCACTCATTTTTCCCATCACCAAAACCTGCAGTCATGGGGTGTGACGGGAGCTCAAGAAGACATTCCCAAGCTGTCTTTACTCTAGCTATCTCAGATCCCAGAGCAGTTAAATCCACACAGAATCCTGGTTAATTACTCGTAGGGCTAGTCTGCACTAAAGCACATGCTGGTGCAGCTTCAGTGCTTTGGGACATCAGGTAGCTAGATTAAAGCTAGCTCAGGTATGTCAACTTGAGCTGCAATCATGCCCATTAAATGCAATCTAGACATAATCTTAGGAAATGTCTATGTGTAGTGAAAGTTTTCAATATGTATATTTCTCCTGTTTTCACGTAATCTCCAATTTTGGGTTCCGCCTATTGTCATTCTACAGTGTCCGTATCTGCATGTGTTTCCTCTATGAGAAAACTAAACCCAGTAATTTGAAAACAAGAGGATTTAGAGAGATTTCTGTACAGGGGTACTTTTCAAATACATAAGGCTAGAACATTAAATCTTAAGGCTGATGTAATTCTTGTGCTTAATCGCTAACGCAACATAGTTTATATAAAAGTGATGTCACGTCTCATCTCTTCTCATATTTGATTCTACAGTAAAGGTATAATGCTTAAATTGTGATATAAGAATAATTTCATTATATATAAAATTGACTTCACTGCAAGATCAAGCAGAAGAGAAAGCAAGAATGTGACTAATAAAGTCTTTATTATGACTAGGGGTCTACCAAATTCACAGCCGTGAAAATCACATCACGGAACGTGAAATCTGGTCTCTGGCTGCCCAGCTCTGAAGGCAGAGTGGAGAACAGCTGTTGCTGGCCGGGTGCCCAGCTCTGAAGGCAGCGCTGTGGCCAGCAGCAGCGGAGAAGTAAGGGTGGCATGATATGGCCACCAGCAGCTGCTGTTCTCCGCTCTTCAATACTGCTGCTGCTGCTGGCGGCATTGCTGCTTGCAGAGCTGGGCACCCGGGCAGCAGCCGCAGATTTCCCGCCGCTAAGCTTCAGGCAGTGCCACAGTCAGCAGCAGCAGCAGCGGAGAAGTAAGGATGCCAATACCGCAACCCCCTAATAGGCTTGCGACCTCTTTTTGGGTCAGGGCCCCAGTCTGAGAAACGCTGTGGAGAAATCACACATTTTTTATGGGTTGGTCACGGTATAAATAGCAAATTTCATGGATGTGTTACACGTCTGCGAAATGTGCTATTTATGCCATGATCAATCTGCGAAAAATGTGTGATTTCTCCGCGATTTAAGTAGACCCCTAATTATGACAGATATATTCAATAACAGCAAAAGTAGCACAGAAAAGTGCTGGCTAAGTCCATATTTTTGGTATAAATGTTTTTATTCTAAATTTATTTCAGTATGAAAGTCCTCCTTCAAGGAACCCTCTGACCCCTAGCTACAGGAAAATACACATATCCATGGCAACACACACCATAGGTTGAAAGGCTGAACAGAAACCTTTGTATCTAACTGGACGCACTGACTGTATATCTGATGAAACCAAAAAAGTCTATTTTTCCCATGACCATGCTTTCTATTTGGTCAAAAAGCAAGTTGGCAGGTATGTTTTCATTTATAGAAATATACTTAATGGATGCTCACTGTAAATATATAAAATGTTTATGCAAATACCTGTATGTTCAATAATTTAAAGAGAAAATACTAATATTACCATAGTGTGAAATGCACAATATATTTTAAATATGACTGTCTTGATCCGCAGAAAGAAATAAAGCTGCATGCTTATTTACAAGACTCTCTCATACAGATGAGGGAATATGTACACATATTCCACAAAAACATGTATACATATTCTCTCTCCATCCGCTTCCTCCCCCACAATTTAGCAATGGTCATGAATGAACACATCTATAATATACCAAGTATGACACACTGACAATATCCTGTAATAGCCTGAACAAACTTTATGGAATTAAGATAAAGTATATTGAATTAAGTTAAACCTGACTGAACTAGGGTCAATACTTTGGGGTACATTGTATAAAAAATGCAATTGTGTGTTATTGGGGCATTGTATGTACCTTCTCTACTAGGGAAGGGGGGATGCTAATGTTCTTCCTCCATTATCAACTCTTTGAAGCCACTCACCTGGAGAGATTTGCACATACTAGTTCAAACTGGAATCTCCAGGGACCAGACAAAGCAAGGGTTTTTGGACAAATAGCCTGGTTTTAAATTGGCTCAGGGTCTTCTACCTGACACAGCAAATGGACAGGATCCCTGGTCCATGGAGGGCTCCAATCCTTTGGGGAGGGTTGGAAGGACAGGGCCTCCTGAGGCCTCATAAGACTGAGTGCTTGTTCTGAGATGAAGCTGTGATTAACTTGTAACCACAAAGAATCCCCCTTACATGGGGTTTGAAGGACTGTTCCTGCCAGAATCCATGTTAGGATTGCGGTGAACTCTGGTAAGCTTATTAGCACGCATATAGGTTCTTTTATTGTTTTCAGTGTGGAATGCTTTTTACCTTAAGAATAAAGTAGGCTTGCATAGGAAGTGTTGTATGGTGCTTTATAACTGTAACAATTACACCTATCAGTCTCTGCAGAGAAAGCAGACAGGCATACCTGGGCAGCCTGTCTCTGCTGGGAATGACACAGTGAAGGCAGGGAATGGTGCAGCCTGGAAATAGCATGGTCAGAAGGGAGAGAGAAACGTGTCTCCACCCAAGAGAGATGACAGCTGGAGTGTCTGGAAACTAGAGTGGCTGCTCTTGATGGACAATTAGGGGGGGGAACACAGTTGCTATTGCCCTGAACGGACACACCAAGTTCTGAATATGCTAATCTGCTCTTCAGATAATCAAATGTAACTAGCTACACATGAAAAGAAAAGACCTTTTCTGTTAGCATTTTTATTAATTATTCCACCATCATTCATTCATATTCCATGACACACAATTACAGTTCTGCATCCATAGTATCATTTGCAAAATCTACTTCAAACAATGATACTACCTTCGAGGAACGTTGTGTGGATATGGAATGACTATAAGTTGGGAGTTCGGGATGATAGCTGTCCATTCCTGTTTTCTTTCGGACTGAAAAAAGAAATGAAGGTGTGTCCACTTCTTACAAATTAATACAAATTTTAAATATACTGAACTTTTCTGATTAATGTTATACAAGAAAAAAAAAAAAGCTCAAAGCATTAATTTTCCAGGAGACAGGAAAGAATAGTGATAATTCTCTAACATTAATATAAAGATTTTTTTATACTGAAAGATCCCAAAGCAATTTACAAACTGAATAAAAACAATATATAAGGATCACTTCATCCACCACTGAAATACCACAATCTCTGAGGTGAAACATGGCAGTGTTTAAAAAGTGCACATTAGCACTGCAGTTTAGAGCAGGAAGTGAAGAATACTATATCCAACTGATTCAGTAGGGAAATTTTATATAGGCAGAATTTAATTATCCAAATGTAGTCAGGATACTGGAGTAAACAATCTATTTTTAAAAATAGCATTGTGAGACCTTTCATCACCACAAATTGTCAGGATCATGGTTTTACATTTCCTCTGAAGGAAGGTTCCTCCAGCAGAACCATTCCCCTGGCACCATGCTGGTAAGAGTACAATACCAACTCAGAGGGAAGTAGGTGATTCAAAGGTGATAGACATTGTTTTCCTGCCCTACCCTGGAATTCTCTGGTGTTTCCCAGCCAAGTACTGAATCATGTGGGCCTCATCCACCTGGGGAGATCTGATGGGATTACAGTATAAATGAGTGTGGTTGCTGGCATAATCATTGGATTCTTAGAGCAAACTGAAATGTTATTAATATAAACCAGCTCTGTATTTCTATGCAAATAGCACACAAATGCATACTTCTGTGTTTTTCTCATGAGTGATATTTTTGTTTTATTGTTTACTTCAGAGGCTAATGAGTGATACTATATGCTGGAGAAAATGAACACAAAGTAGTCTTCAGCAAACCGTTTTCAATACCCATGAAAAATGTTTCTTTATAATTCTGATTTCCGAAACAGAGCAATCCTAAGAACAACACCCCCCAAAGCTTCATTGGGCAAGGAAAATACCAGAAAAAATAGTTTATCCATGGGAAATCTCAACTTACCTTTTCTCCTAAAGGACGAGGAATGCCAACGTATAAGTGATCAAGGAAATTAGCACTGCGTCCCAAACCTAGCACATTGTAAGGCAACTGGAGAGCGAAATGAGCTGACTGGCTAAGTTGTCCAGCTAGAATTTAATTTAAAAAAGAAGCTGTAGTGAATCTACTTCTTAAGACTTTCATCACAATAACACGTTTTGCCTGCAGTAATAATAATGTTTTAAAATTATAAGTAAACAATACAATTATCTGTTCTTAAGTGACAGATCCTGCATTTCCAAATAATCTGTGGGTATTCAACAAGAAGAATAAATTTATTCCACTAACAATTTCAGAACTAGCTACCAAACACATACTGTAGATCAAATTTTCCTCTGATTTAAACCTGAGTTACATTAATTGCAAGCCAGGGCAGAAATTGGCTCCACTGATAACAGATAATTATAAACAACTGAAAACAAAGAGACGTTTTCTATTAAGTGAAAGCAGGAAAAGGATACACATTTTTCTTAGCTAGCTTTAGATTCATTAACAACATATGATCTCCAGATATATTACTTACTGCATTTTAGCAAAATCTCTTACAATCTTTTCATCTTCTACAGCATATTAACTTGAATCCAGTGTGGACCCTTTGTTTTCTAAAAAGCCCCTTATTAAAGGATTTCTTTCTTGTTGCCATAACAGGAACAAGATAAACATTAAAACCACTTCAGCCCTTCACCAGGATAACAGAAATAATTTCAATCTGGAGGAGGGGGCTGGCCGGTGACAACATGAGGTAAGTTTTCAAAGTGGTGAGAAGCAGTTGTTTTAACAATTTTTTTTTTAAAACAGGAATTTGAGTGTCAAATTCTTGCACTGCTTTGACATGCTCTGATAGGTTATATTTTAAATCAAGAATCTCAAATTAAGCAATAAGACATGACAGGATGTGAATTTTGGGTGCAATAATTCACATCTTGTATGTTAGAGTAGGAGGCTGCAGGCTGAGTTCTGTCTATGCGACTAGGCATGAATTATAATAACATAATTCAATCCCTGCAGTCCTTTCTTAGATAAAAATAAATATACTCCACCACCAAGGGAAGTAATTATTGGCAGGAGGGTAAAACTCGAGAGCAAAGATATCAAGATATTCTGACATGTTTTCTATTTTAATTTTATGGATTCTGAAACACTATTGACTTTATGACCCTCGAGTGTTTAAAGCCATTGAGCACTTTCATTTTATTTTCAGTTTGTATTGGCCTGTCACTCTGTTTAGCACTGGTTTAGCTGCATCCCTTGTTGACATGAGTTGTCAGCAATATGTAATTTTACTAGAGTGGACAAAGCCTTCATTGCTTATCCTCTGATGAGGCAATGCCTTAAACCCTGATCTTGCATCAGGTACTGTTGAACTCAACCTTAAGTTTTAGAATTTTTTTTTGTGTTATAAAGTTAAACACATGGATACATTTTTGTGGAAATGAGGGCTTAGAAAGGAACCAGACTATCTTTGAAAAGCATGTTTTCAAATAAACAACTAGTTTTGTTTCTGATTTTAGCTCAAAGTACAGCTCAGTTCGCGGGGATGGAGGGGGAAACTGAATCAGAATCTGATTGATTTAAATGAGCTTGGTTTCAATCCAAGGTGTGGAAATTTCACAGGAGCTGTCAGCACCATTAGAACTGTTCCAATTAAAGGCAGAAAGTAAGTTCAGCCCAAGTCAAGATGTTGAAACACAACATAATTTGTATACGAGCCCAAAGAAGTGAGAAGCCAATTTAAGATACCCACGCCACACTTTTTGCATTTGGGGAAACCAGATTTTTGGGGAACTCAGCTGAAGAGCAGCCGCTCTTTACAGTTTGCTCCACAGAGCGCCAAGATGACATATCTGCTGGATTTACTGCTGCTTACGGCAGCAGTGACTTTGACAGTCACTTCTGAGTTTCTATTTTCTAGCTATGTTCGTACGGAAGGTAGAATTCAGCAACAGCATGGTACCGAACTGACCTCTGCTGCATGAGGGAGAGGGGGCAGAGAAGTGTGGTGTTCTGAGACTCACAGGATGGACCCCCAGTTTCCCTGCAGATACGGAGTCTCTACCAGTTTGGCAGGACATCTCTGGCTCCCTTTGCAAGGCTGAAAACCAAATACCTCCATATAACCAGGGCCTTGCATCATGTATATTTTAACTTGAAGTTTAACTTTTTTCCCCTAGGTAGGGTACCATAGGCCCAGTGACTATTGGCTTGAATTGCCAGCTTGCCTTACAGCTCTTCTGCTTGTAAGGCTTATATTACATTGTACAAGGAAGTAGGACTGATTAAGCCAGGTGATGACTGACACACATTTAAGATGCTAGGGTGTTATGACCTTTTCTTAGACAGCTGTGTGTTCACGGTTATCATTTCATACTACATGGTTTAAATGTGCAAATGGTGAGTTTAAAAATTATTTTATCTATTATAATGAAACTGCATTTTTGTATTCTTGGTTGGGAATCCCAAATATCAGTCAGGCAGAAATTGCAATTAACTCTACTGTACTAAGGATGAATGAATTATATTATTTATCAAGGATACCACAACACTCAATAGAAACAATATTAAAAATGTTTTTTCCTAAATAAATAAAGTAACCACATATGACATCTTTAATATGCAGGGACGGCTCCAGACACCAGCCTGGCAAGCAGGTGCTTGGGGCGGCCCCTCCGGAGAGGGGCGGCACGTCCAGGTATTCGGCGGCAATTCGGCGGACGGTCCCTCACTCCCGCTGGGAGCAAAGGACCTCCCGCCGAATTGCCGCCGCAGATCGCGATCGCGGCTTTTTTTTTTTTGGCTGCTTGGGGCGGCCAAAACCCTGGAGCCGTCCCTGTTAATATGACAAATGAATACACAGGCTGAGGAAAAAAAGAAAATGACTATTTTAAATAAATAGATTTTTGGTAAAAGGATTTAATTTCTTTCCAGTCTTAGCTTGTCAGACAGGACTGAAAAATTACAGGCTTTCCCACAAGTAAGTGTGGTGTGGGCAGACAATTAGTCTTTTAAAAAAGAAAACTTCCTTTTTGGATAGAAGATCCCATGATATAAACTGAGGTGATCTGGTTAGTATTGTATTTATCAACCAAACTGGAAAGTCACAGCATAAAGAAGCAAATGAATTACAAAAGTGCATTACAACAGTGAAGATTTTATTATTGGAATACATAATAGCAGCAGTAATGAAAAAATATCAGGGAATCTGCATAAGATGCAATACAAGTGTCAGACTTGCCATTACATACTGATCTCAACTATGTCTGACTCAGGTCGAAGGATGTGAGAACATAAAGGAATGCAGTGACAAATCAATTAAAAACAATAGTAGATCTTTCTGATTTAGAGCATAGTTGTGTTCACAAATCTAAGAAGGGGACATTTTTCCAAAACACAAGGCTGGCTAACTCCATATTTTCAAAGACTTTGGTTTTATCTCAGTATTTTTATACTTGTAAATCCATTGCTTTCAATTAAACAAACTACAGAACAAGCAAAAAATAGAAAAACAGTGACGTGTGTATTTGGTAGCAGTGTCTTCTACAGTCCCACATGGTACTTAAATAAGCTATTTATAGTCTGGATTTTTGATTAATGGCATGGCACTGCAACAGTAGCACAACTTCAGCATGTGCTTGGTTTGACATTCAGAGTCAGTTCTCTGTTGGGCTGTGAAGGGACAGTACCTCACACTGTTCTCTGGTAACACCTCCAACTGACCAAGGAGCAGCATTGACAGGTCGCAGTGAGAACAGCACCAACCCCTTCTCTGTCAGATGGCAAGGGACCCTTGAGGGGGTGTAAAATGGAAAATAAGGAGATTCGTGGGGCTCTGAGGGCACTTTGAAAGAAATGGCAATCAGTTTCCTCCAAGAATGTCTTTTGATGTGCCATAGAAATATCAAGTATTATTGAGGTATACAATATAACCATAACAACATGCCTATTGTGGAGACCATTTGGGCTTTTCAAAATTTATGTTTTCCTCTTAGGACTATAGCCTTGGATGTTAGAAGAAAGGTGTTCATTGGGACCATGCACAACTCTCTGCAGTACCTACTGTAGGATTAGGATCTTCTTATATTTTGAATAATTTATCTGTAACCTTAGCAAGTCCAAAAACTCAGCAGCGATGTGTTTCAATCCCTTTTTTCAAAGCAGTGACCTTAATCAGTCTATTCCACCAGTGGAAATGGGCATGAATTATTAGCAACTGTAGATAAGACAATAGTGTATATAATACATATGGAAATTCCTAGGAACTAATGTCAATCAATTTTCGCTTTTCATTCTGAAAACTACTGATATATGCTTTTGTGGCTGTATCAGTATCTGTATCAGAAATTAACTCCAGTCTACTTTATTCAAGATGCGGAAGTATAGTAACTCCCCAAATGCAGCCTTGAATGGTTTTTTTCCTCCATAAATGTTTACTATTTCAAAGTCCAATGTTGGCACAGCATCCCTATATTTATTCTTTTTGGACTCAGGTTCTACTATATTTGCTTTCAGTGAGAAAGAGAGGTATTTCTTCTAGTAATGCATTAAGAGGAGGATCTCTCTTGCAGAGTGTGAGAATGCAGAGGGAGAAAACTGTAAAATCCAGAAAGGCTTAACAGCTATCTCAGAAGGATACAGGGGAGGAAAATTTTGAGACTCAGAATGTGGGTGGTATTATTTATCATTTTGGGACTGAGCTTTCATCACACAGATGGATATCACCAGAACCAAATCTGTCAGATATCTACTTATAAGTTCATATTTGGACATCAGAGGAGAAAACCATTTTTTCAATTAGCAAACAGGCCAAATACTTTACTCAGTCTCTCTCTCTCTCTGTCTAATTAGAGGGATCTTGCCTTAAAGATGGTATCTAAAGTTTTAGGCATATTAATTCACTGGGGCAGTTTCTAGTATGATGGTAATATTATTAGTACAAATGCAAGAAATAAGAGTTCCAGGCATGGGATTCTCAACTCTCGCATTTAACTGAGGAAGATCCATTTCTAATTTCTATTAAAAACAGGCATAGTATTGGGATGCAAAACATTATAGTGATGTAAAATAAGCCATCATGTATTTCCTGAGATTATAT